TACTGCACCGGGACCCCGATATGGCACCAGGAACCTCCCCGACATCGGGACCCCCCCGGCAGCAGCACCGGGACCTCCAGGAGCAGGACCGGCCCCCTCCCCCCGGTGCCCCCAGGACCCCCCGGCACCGGGCTCGCCCGACCCCAGCAGCACACGGGGCACCAGCGCAATCCAAGTACTTCCAGTACGAGTGTCCCGCTGTTCTCAGTGCTCCCAGTGCAACCCCAGTGCTTCCAGTCTGATCCCAGTATGGGTGTCACTCTGTTCCCAGTGCTCCCAGTGCAATCCCGGTGTTCTCAGTCTGATCCCAGTGCTCCCAGTAAAGGTGCCCCTGCGTCACCAGTGCTCCCAGTGTGATCCTCGTGGTCCCAGTCTGGGTCTCCCTCTGTCCCCAGTGCTCCCAGTGTAATCCCAGTGCTCCCAGTGCTCCCAGTATGCCTCTCCCTCCGTCCCCAGTGCTCCCAGTCTGCTCTCAGTGCTACTCCTCTGACCAGTGCCACCTCTGACGCACCTCCCTCACCGCCTGTCCCTGTCCCCACTGTCCCCGCCGTCCCCATTGTCCCCATTGAGGGGGAAACTGAGGCAGGACCCCCCTTCCCCTCCAAGAGTCACGTGACCCGCTTCCCGCCTCCTCCCCGCTCCCTCTGCCCCCTCCCTCCCCGCGCGGGGGATTGTGGGAACCGTAGTCCGCCGGAGGGGGAGGAGCCGCGTCGGCGCGCGGGGCGGGCGGCGCGGTCGGACTACGATTCCCAGACTCCCCCGCGCGGCGCTCGCCTCCCGTGATGCCGCGCGCCCCCTGGCGGCGCGGGCGGCGGCCGGAGCGGCGGGGATGAGCGAGGAGGGGGCGGGCGGGGCCCGGCGGAGCGGCGGCGCCTTCCCCAGGTACCGGGACCCCCCCGGGACCTCCCCGCGCCGGGCACCGCCCCCGCACCCGGCACAGACCCCCCCGCGCCGCGGGGGTGGCGGGCAGGGGGAAGGGGCGGCCTAGGCCGCGCCGCGGGGGAGGAGGGAGTGGGCGGCGGCGGAGGGGAGGGGCGGAGGGGGGACACACACGCGGGACTGTCCCCGTGTCGCCACACGAGGGAGGGAGGAGGGGGAGACAGGTGTGTCCCTGTGGGGTGTGGCGGCGGCATCACGGTCCCTGAGTCCCCGGTGGTGCCATCCCTGTCCCCGTGTGGCACTGCCACCCCCTTCCCCATGTGGTAGTGCCACCCCCATCCCGGTGTCCCCGGTGGTGCCACCTCTGTCCCCCTGTCCCCAGTAGTGCCACCCCCATCCC